TGATGCTGATGCTGATGCTGATGCTGATGCTGATGCTGATGCTGATGCTGATGATGAGGAGGAGGGGGAGGAGGAATAGGAGGAGGAGGAGGAGGAAGAAGAGGAGGAGGAGAAGGAGGAGGAGAAGGAGGAGGAGAAGGAGGAGGAGAAGGAGGAGGGGACCGAGGGGGTTGGAGGACACGGAGGAGCACGGTGAAGGAGAAACGAATTGTTTATGGACCCCGATAGGACGACGACCCAGACCCAAACACCAACGGAGGGCAGTGGCGCAACCCGAACCGCTACTTGAAGGCGCTCATGCTGCAGCGCAGGGGCAGATGCTTGAGGACACCTCGGGGGTATCCCCAGGGAGTGGGTGAGCGCTTCATCCGTATCATCACCCTCATCCCCTTCCAAGCGACGTGGGATCCTCATCATCGTCCTCGGCTGAGGATGTGGAGTGGTGGGAGGAAGAGGAGGTGGAGGAGGAGGAGGAGAAGGATGCTCAAGGATCGACGATTCAGGATTGGGATCGTTTCTTGCCTTATCGCTGCATCTGGAGGCATCCATAACCTCCAGAAACGCCCCCAAACCCTCAAACACGAAGGCGTCGCTGACAACGACGGCGACGAGGACGAGGCTTCCTGCAGTCCCTGGAGGCCTTCGGAGAGAGAGAGAGAGAGAGAGAAGCCGTGCACGTCAGAGGTGCATTGGCAAAAGAGGGTGACACGACAGTATCTACAAATGGGCCGCTCGCACTGCGCCGTGGCGATGCGCAGCAAGCCTGTGAGATATCCCGCACGGAGTGGCATGACAATGATGATGCGACCGGCAAGGCGCAACCTCCGGCGTCGCCGGCTCCAAGCACAGGTAAAAATGTTGCAAGTCTTGCCATCCGCCGCACACCAAACTATACAAGCGAAAACGTAACTGAACGAGCCGAGCCGGGTGAGGCGACGTGTGCGCGGGCGGAGCGAGGAAGAGGCTGGCAGGGGAGGCGAAGTGCCGGCCCGCCCCGGCAGGGGTCGCCGGAGCTCCGCCTTTGGGAGGCGAGCGCGGGAGGAGGAGGATCAGCCACGCGCAGAGGGGGGTGGGGGGAGGGGGAGGGCTTCTTAGAGGCACCCCTGCTTCTTAGAAGGCACGGGCCTTATCTATAGATGTAGGGCCGGCGCCTTCTGAGAAGCAGCCTGCTTCTAAGAAGCCCTCCCCCCTCCCCCCACCCCTTTTGTGCGCGCCGCCAAGAGAAGGGAAGGGGGGGAGAGCGGGACACCGAGCGCGGGAGGAAGAGAAGGGAAGGGAGGGGGGGCGGGGCCTTCGGGGGTCCCCGGAATTCGCCAGAGGCCTCCGGCGACCCTCCTGAGGCCCCGAGAAGAGCAGAAACTCACACATCCGAGAAGTCCTCATAATTCAGTTGTCGACGACGACGACGACGACGACGACGACGACGACGACGACGGCGGCGGCGGCGGCGACGACGACGACGACGACGACGGCGACGGCGACGACGACGACGACGGCGCCGACGGCGGCGGCGGCGGCGGCGACGACGACCGTGGGGGACTGCCAGGAGACTCGGCAGGCGGAGGCGCGCCTTCCTGGGGACCTCGCTCGTCGCGCTGCTCTGCGGCGCTGCTTGGGGACTGCTCGTGTGGGAGTGGGCCACGGATGACGCCTTCGAGGACGAGAGGCCCCTGGGGGGGGGCACCACATCGAGGCTCGAGGAGCTCGCTATGGTCGATCTGTCGGCGAGATATATCGCCAATCTCAGCTCGATGTCTCCCCCCAGAGCTGGTCCACTCGAAAACGTTTCACCTCGCTAGTATCGAGGCTCGAGAAGCCTAGCGCCGAGGAGAAACCGAGAAGGATTGAGGGTCGATCGAGGAGGGGGGGGGAGGGGAGGAGTGATAGTTCTGGAGCTTGAAAGCAGTGTGGTATGAATCAAAGGGACAAAGCCACAGAAACATAAACTTTTGGCGCTCCGCGCGGATTTCTTGGATCCGCGCTGGGCCCGCCCGGCGGCGCCTCCGGCGCCGCCCTTGGCGCCCTCCGCGCGCCAGGGAGGGGAGTCCAGCGCAGATCCGAGAAATCCGCGCGCAGCGACAAAAGTTCATGTTTGTGCCGCTCGTTCTTCTTCCATGAAAAGGAGTGTGGTATGAAGGAGGGTGGTGCCAATGCCGAAAGTGGCGATGTTATCTACGATAGCCGCTCGGCTTTGCGCCGACCGTCTCAGACAACGTCAGCCTTCCTGATTCCAACTTCCCCGAACGACCGCAGCTCCATGCGAATAGAAAACACAAGCACCTGTACAAGGCCGCCTGATCACCGAGCACGCAATTTTGGAAACTCCGATTCGCGAGCAGCGTGATTCCGGATGTTCCGCATCGCAGAAAAACTAATTCTGAATATTCAAGAGTTTAGCAACAGTATTGTTTCGACACAAGCCATGGTTGTAGAAATTCCGAAACGACATTCCAGAGATTCCCGATTCAGAAAGAGAACTCTTGGAAATTATGGAATCTCC